ATGGGGAGCAATATTATAGGCAGAAACATGGGTGTGCTATGGGGTCTCCAGTTTCTCCTATTGTTGCCAACCTGTACATGGAGGAGGTAGAAAAGAGAGCCTTGACGTCCTTTTCAGGGACACCACCAAGTCATTGGTTCAGGTATGTTGACGACACCTGGGTTAAAATCAAATCTCAGGAAGTCCAACATTTTACTGACCACATCAACTCTGTGGATAAATACATCAAGTTCACACGAGAAGATGTAAAAAATGGCAGGTTGGCTTTCTTGGACTGTGAGGTCTCAGTCTCTGATAGAGGACATTTGCAAACTGAGGTGTACCGCAAACCCACACACACAGACCAGTATTTGCAGTTTGACTCCCATCATCCTTTGGAGCACAAGTTAGGAGTCATCAGGACTCTGTACCACAGAGCAGACAGCATCCCCACTAACTCAGGAGCCAGGCAGAAGGAGAAATCCCACACAAGACAGGCTCTAGAGCAATGTGGATATCCTAACTGGGCCTTCCTGAAAGCAGACAAGAAACCCAAACAGGACTCCAGTCAGCCAATAGGTGAAAAGGAGGAACCCAGACCCAGACCAGTGGTCATTCCATATGTTGAGGGAGTATCAGAGAAACTGACGTTTATTTTCTAAACATAACGTCCCAGTGGCTTTTAAACCCCAAAATACATTAAAGACTGGTTCATCCCAAAGATCCAGTCCCCCGGCACAAACAGAGTAATGTTGTGTATGCTGTTCAGTGTCAGGAGGGTGATCAGTCTTACATCGGGGAAACTAAACAGCCACTGGCCAAAAGGATGGACCAGCACAGAAGATCAACATCATCAGGCCAGGACTCTGCGGTCTACACTCATCTCCAGGCCAGAGGTCACTCTTTCAGGGATGAAGACGTTCACATCCTGGACAGAGAGGAACGATGGTTTGAGAGAGGAGTAAAGGAGGCCATCTTTGTGAAAAGAAATCGTCCATCATTAAACAGGGGTGGAGCCTCCAGGTTCAACTGTCCCCCTCTTACAATGCTGTGATTGCTAGTATCACTCAGCCCTCTGTGAACAGTAAACAGCCATCAGGTGCTAATGATCCATTGTTAGGCTGATGGTCCTTCTTGAGCATGTGATCAGCTGGTTTTGGTTGTCAGCAGCAAACTGGTTGATCCACTCTGAGAAGGTGCTATTTAAGAGACTGAGCTGAATACAGCACCTCAGACTGAGGAAGTCCTCAGGATGAGAGACGAAACGTTTCTATATTTTTTTTTTAACCCATCCAGAGAATGTGACTCAACTTTTTTAGATTAACCCAAAACATTTAACACAAGTCATCCAGTTCAAAGTAAAGGCCTCAAAATACTAAAAAATATTTTAAGAAACTGATGAAAACTTCTGACTTTCAACAAAATAAAATTTAAAAAAAAAAACAACTCTGGTTATTCAGTAATTTAAGAAATCAAAATAATTTTGTGAATGCTTGCTGACTAAAGCCGAGGTTAATGTCAGTGACAGAAAGAGGTGTGTGTGTGTGTGCGTGTGTGTGCGTACACTGGTTTGAGCTCGTCTTCATGTGACTCTCTGTCTTTCAGTCCATGAGCTTGTTCAGCAGTGCCTTGGCCTCTGGGCAGCTCGGCCCGCTCATGAGTCAGTTTGGACTGTCAGCAGACGCTGTGGACGCTGCCAACAGGGGAGGTAAAACACCTGCCACTGCAGATATGAACATGTACTGAAGTCTGGCAAATAAAATGTTAGTCAAAATACTACTGGTAGTAGCAGCAAAGCCTCTGTTAGGTTCAGTTGTTTTTCTTTTGAAGGAATTGTTGCATCAGTGCTTCACATCATTCACACATGTTGAAACGTGTTGTCAGGGAGCCGTCATGTCACTCGTGAAGGAGTGGAGTCGACTTCAATGTTGCGTACTTCTCTCTGACTTCACATGTAAATGACATGAACGTAAACGTGTCGTTGCTCCTGTCCTTTGTGCAAGAATCTCTCCATGTCTGTTACTGAGAGGGGACTCTTATTGGTTTTGTTCTTAAGTAAACTGGTCTCTGTGTTTCAGATGTAGAGGCGTTTGCCAGAGCCATGCAGGGCAGCAAAGGAGACTCTAAAGAGAAGAAGGAGGAGGAGGAGGAGGATGATGAAGATATGAGCCTCAGTTAGAAATCTGCTTCATTTCTGTAAAACATGACTTTTCTTTTGTGCTCTAGTTGTGTTGAGCTTCTGTGTGTTTGCATCGACACCTGTCAATGCAGTGCTGAGCTGCTGATGTCCTCCATGCTGTGCTTCAGCCTCACGTTTGAGCTTTTACTACAGAAAAGATTGTTAGAGCTGAGTGACTAAAACTCTTGATAATAAAACTAAATAATTACTTCACTCACTTTCTGTTTTTCTTCTTTTAGCAAACACACACACACACGAAGGAACTGAGGTTATATGAGTTTATTAAACACCCAGGGCAGGGAGTGAGGGATGGTTCAGTGACACATGTTTCTGTGGGGGAGTGCACAGACCAGCACTTCCTGGACAGGTAAACACCTCAGAACTCACAGGGGGGGGGACACACTTAGAATTTCTCTTGATTTTATAGCATTTCAAGTGTCCTAAATTTGTAAAAGCAAACCTTAAAAAGAAAAAAGTTTAGCCAAAATCATTTTCATTGTATTTGCTCATTGAACAGTTTGATGACTGTCAGCTGAGCCTGAAGCTAACGATGATGTAATGTTGGAGCAGCTCTGTTGCTTTCATTCTGACATTTTGCTTTTGGAAACCAGTTCCTGTTTTTCTGGATGATTGTTTCCTCTGGTGCCTGATGCTGTGCAGCTGGAAGGACTTTTACTGACCGCTACAGGAGATCCCTCCTGCCCACAGCATCCAGAACTCGTCATGAAACCAGATGAGCTACAACAACATTTCATTTCCCTCTGGGATTAATAAAGTATTTTTGAATTGAATGTGTTTTTAAGCAGATGACGTCTGTGTAATAATCCTGCATGTGTGGAGATGTGTCAGATGTTTAGGTGGTTCTTCAGCATGGCTCAGGCCTGACTGACTGAAGGAATGCTCTATTTGGTGAGCAGTGTTAACAGAATGAACAAAATGTCTCAAACACGTGATGGTGCTTCATTTCCTTGTGTGAGTCTCGGCTCGTGTCACTTGAGTTTGGCTTGTGGAGCAGCAGATGTTCTGTGATGTGTGAGCTCTTGTTGCTGCAGGATGAGCCCAGAGGCTGCGGAAAGACAGGCTCGTCTTGGTTACAGTACACCTAGACCATTACTGGAGTTTTAATCGGGTATTTGAAGCTACTAATAAACATGATGGATGATGATCATATTGCTTTATGCTAGGTCATTGGTAAGAAGTGATTATTATTATTGTTTCATATTGACTAGTGATTTTATTTTTCCTAAAAATTAACTTAGACTACACTATGTTTCTTAGATTATGACTGCATGAGACAAGTGGAACGTGCTCTATTCACACAAGGAGAGCTGTTGGTCAGGCTACTTCTTGTTGTGCCATTAACTCTATAATAGATATTGAATCAAATGTTACTTATATAGGCAAAACTAGATGTTAAACAACTCGTTAAATACACCAGAATGCAGGAAATGGCACTCCCAGACACCCCCCACCAGTGTGTCCCCCCAACCCCCCCGCATTATAAATGCTTCTGATACCAATGGCCACCATATTGTTCAATCCAAGAGCCTGAGGGCAGATTCTAGAATCACCCCTGATGTAATTTAATAATAGGTCGTGATCTGAAGTGGGCCACTCTGCTGCACGGAACTCCAGGGCTGAAAACGAGTCCCACTCCAGCCCTGCTTGGGGGTATCATTTCAGATCCTTTGTGTTAAGAATCTCATGTTTTTGTGTTTCTGAGACGTGACTTAATATCCTGTCCTGAGCTGGTCCTTGTCGCAGGCGTTGGTGCTGGTCTGTGCTGCTCATGTATCCGTGTTCGCAGTGGACTGATCAAACACAGCTGTAAATATCCATTTCAGGAGTACTTGACAAAAAAATGTGTTTAGGAAAAGATCATTTCAAACTAGGTTTTCTTTATAGAACATGGCACATTTTCAATGATTGTTTTCAAACCCAACAGCTGAGATCAGTGCATTCAGTCATGCAGCACAAAACAAATGTGTAATTTAGTGATGACAAATGTGAACACATGTTTATAGGCACTGATAATAAATATGACTCTGTTTTAAATTAGCTAGAGTAAAATGACACCCACCACCATTAGTTTGTATTTGGAGAACGTGAGGAGAAGACTACATATGTGGGCAGCCTCGTGCAGCCACAGCGCCGTGTAAAGAGATCGCTTCAGACAGCTCAACACGTCTGTGGTTCACGCTCACGTTCCGGATGCAGCCTTGGAAGGCTGGTGAATCTTCAGGAAGACTGGGAGCTGTCGCACCACCTGGTGAACACAGAAGAACAAATTGAAGGAACTGAACTGGTGACCTCTTACACCAAACCACAACAGCTCATTTTTGGGGGGGCAAGATGGCGCCAGTGTGTAGAGCTTGCTGTCCATCGCTCTGATTTGTTTTTATATCTGTTAATTTTACAAAGTGTTGCTCAGATTGTCTACTCCTCTCCGCAGTATGATTGTTGTACAAATGGAGCTCCATAAATTTGCTGAAATGCCTGCGGTTTATCAACAGTGGTCAAGACTCTCTTCCCCCAGTCCTATCTGAAATTCCAGCTTTCCTCCTTTGAGATCCTGGTCCTTCTTCCCGGATGAAGCATCACAGACGTCGAAGAAAGCATGGTGGGATGTTAGTGAAGCCGAGACACCATGTGGATTATTTTGCCAAGGATTGTCGGGCTCGTTTTGGATCTGATCATCACCTCTCTGACACGTGGTGTTAAAGGGGCCCTGCTGTTGGCCTGCTTGTCGCTCGCTCGGACAGTGGAGGTTTACCTGTTCGTCCTCGCACACTCCTTTTAGGAGGTGTGGATCTTTAAAATCTGCGGCCGCTGGCACGCTCTCCCCTCACCGCTGCTGTGTCTGTTTTGGACCCTATCAGGATGCGCTTGATCAGGCGTGGGCAAACCCACGTCTGGGCAAAGGACACTGAGTTCCATGTGTTATTTTGTCCATAAAAGTCTTCTGAATCACTGAAAATTGTTGGATTGTATACCTGGATTATTGAGCATGGACTTTTTTGGTCTTCTGAATTACTCTTTGTCTGGCCTGTTACCTAGAACCAATCTGCCTTGGGAGACACAACCAGTGGCAATTAAAATTGCCCCAGACAGCATAGCTCCTAGGATTCATTCAGGCACACAAACTCCTCCACCATGATAAGGTGGCAATTCCAAGAGGAGTTTATTCTGCTGGGGGACTTCAATGCACATGTGGGTAATGATGGTGTGACCTGGAGAGGAGTGACTGGGAGGAACACCTTCTCTGATATGAACTCGAGCGGTGTTTTGTTGTTGTTTTGTGCTAGTTTGTCCATCACGACCACCATGTTCAAAATAAGGGTGTCCATAAGTGCACTTGGCACCAGGACGCCCTAGGCCTTAGATCGATGATTGACTTTGTAGTCATGTCATTTGATTTGTGGCCATTTGTTTTGGACACTTGGGTAAAGAGTGGAGCTGAGCTGTCAACTGATCACAACCTGACAGTGAGTTGGTCAGATGGCAGGGGAAAATGCCTGACAGACCTGGTAGACCCAAATATGTAGTGAGGGTTTGCTGGGAACGCCTAGCAGAAGAACCCATCAGAAAGATTTTGCAACTCGCACCTCTGGGAGACCTTTAACCACATCCCAGCTGAGATAATCACTGTGAGGTGTGACATCATGTTGCTGCTGATCTGTTTCATGTTGCTGTGTTCGTGCTTGCTCATCTGCTCACACAGACTCATGTCCGTGCTGCTGTTGGACGTTGTGTTTTTGTGCTATTGGTGCTTGCTGTATTATTTGGTTGATGTTTGTCTTAGTTCATATCTTAGATCTTGTTGGTTTTTCTTTTACATTTTATTGTTGGATGTAACTGGGACCCTGTGGACATAATCTCATTCCACCACATGTACCACATGCGATGCAAATGACAAATCTCAGGTTAGGGAGACTGTCAAGCTGAAGGAGGACTCCCCTCAGGCCTTGTTGGCTGGTGGGTCTCCAGAGGCAGCTGAGGAGTACCGGAGGTACTGGAGGTTAATGGTTACTGGAGGTAATGGTCTGTAGCCTTGGCTGTTGCTGAGGCAAAAACCCTCTGTGAACAGTAAACAGCCATCAGGTGCTAATGATCCATTGTTAGGCTGATGGTCCTTCTTGAGCATGTGATCAGCTGGTTCTGGTTGTCAGCAGCAAATCTGGTTGATCCACTCTGAGAAGGTGCTATTTAAGAGACTGAGCTGAATACAGCACCTCAGACTGAGGAAGTCTCTCGGATGAGAGACGAAACGTTTCTACATTTTTTGTTGTTTTGTTTTTTTGACCAGACTTAACTTTTTTTAGATTTTTCTACCTGGATTATTGAGCAGCATCACAATAACGTATGGACTCTTACTCATCTACTCTGCCAAGTAAACAGGTATAATCACTGCTGTTGAATTGTCGCTATAAACATGTTCCCTGCAAATCATTAATTAAACGCAAAGCATGAAAAATTAAAGTTCTTGATCATTATTGTCACCGTCTCATGTTCATGAATCATGGATGCCTGGTTCAGCTCTAATATCATAAAGGGCGTTTTAATAGGTTTTCTCAGCTGTGAATATTAAAACAACTTCCTAGTGTCCTGGTTCCTGGATACTAAAACTTATAGCTGTTTTGTGTAGGTGTGAGTTAGATTTTAATTAAAAGTAATTGGTCTTACTCAGACTGACATCACCATCAAGAGAGAAGCTGTCCTTAAAGCTCTGATGGTCTAGCTGAACCTGTGGAGCATCTTCTGAAAGAACACCAGGTAAGAAGACATGATGCACCAACACGAGCAGCCTAACCCTAACCCTAACCCTAACACACCCGCTGTGTTTGAAATGCAACATTGAACTGGATATTGTTTCTTCTCCTTTTATTTTTGTCTATTGAATTTGGGCTCAAACTGAAGTAACATCATGCCAGAGTGGGACAAACAAATATATTTTTTGATGACTCTTTGATCTTTATTGTAGCACCTACATTCATTTGAAATGAGAACTCTTGTTGTAACCTATCCGGCAAATTGTCCAGAGTTTCAGAAAGTAAAGAGAATGTTCAGACTGTTGTGCTTTGGCAGTTCTCTGCACCCTTTTACTCTTCTAGTTGTCCTCATTTCTTTATGTTTGGTGTGTTTGCAGGATGTGCAGGAGAATGACCAGCTGCATCTGGAAACCATGACGATCTTTGTCCCTGGGAGAGAGGATCCTCTCCATCCACCCAAACACATGAAGATAATCATGGATGGAGCACAGGTCCTGAATGAACTGTCTTCTGTTGTTGAACAGCTGTTGTCATGTTCTTCAGGCTCATATACTCAACCTAAGGCCCTGCCTCTAACAAAAACTGCCCACGGTGAAGTTCTCAAAAGGGTCTCCTGTTATAAATACCTGGGCTTAATTATCGACGAGGAGCTTTCTTTTAAATCTCATGTGAAACACCTAATCTCCAAATTAAGGTGAAGCTCAGGTTCTTCTTTAGAAACAAATCATGTTTCTCCCTTAGAGCAAGGAAACATTTGATCACGGCTACTTTTTTGCCAGTACTTGACTATGTCAATGTTGTTTATATGTGTTTTCAAACAGTTTCTACAGTCAATGAATCCAGTGTACTCACTGTGCATTAAGATTTATTACTGGTTGTAGCTACCTTACTCATCACTGTGATCTCTATCTTAAAACCAATATGTCTTCCCTGTTTAACAGGCGACATGTGCATTGGATGACTTTGGTTTATAAGTCTCTTACTGGCATGCTTCCACATTATTTATGTACTTTTATACGAAGAATGGACAGTAGTTATGCCTTACGCTCTAAGGACTGTTTGCATCTTCATGTTCCTCGTGTGCGAACAGACAAGGGCACGAAAGCTTTTAGCTTTTCTGTCCCTCAGCTTGGAATGCCTTGCAAGCTGAATTAAAACTGACAGAACTTGTTACTTTGAGTACTTTTTGCAAATTTTTTAAAAACCGACAAAGGATATCTTGTCAACAGTGCCTGTGTTTTAGATCTTAAATTGTTATTGTTTTAAATTATTATTTATTACAATTATTGCCATTTACTGTTA